CGAAGTAGACGTCTTTCCTTTTGTTACGTTTACGAGTCTCCTCGGATCCCGAGGAGAGTAAAATCTCTCCACCCTCTGCCACGCTTCCCTCGTGCTTGCTGTTCGTCTCTACCAAGCGCAGCCGTGAAATAAATCCGTATATTCCGGTGGGTCTTAAATTCAACCGGAAATAGAATTTGTCCCGAGGCGGTCGCGGAAGCCAATGGCGCGAGGCGAAGACGGCAAAGAAACTCCGGGAGGAAACTCACAGAAGAAATCGAGAGGCAGAGAAAAAGCGGAGCTCGGATCAGGTTGGGGGAGGGTGGAAATCTGGTGAGTTCGCGCGCGCGAATCCGTGTTTCAAACCGCGGAAGGAGGGTGCCATCCCGCGAGCACGAGGAAACTTGCACGCGCAAGTCTTGGTCCCTTTCTTTCTCGAAAGTCCAAGTCGTCGCTAGGAAAAAGAAATAGGGAAACGACGGCGGAGAAACGGCAGGGAGAATTTAATTTTCTCGATAGGGAACGAAAACAAACCTGGCTGATTTATGATTCGTATCGAAAGGTTAAGATAATCGCGTTGTATTTTACAGAGAAAGAGAAAGAGCGTAGCAGCGAGTGGGTGGTTCACAGTTTTTTACGTTTAATCCCTAACTCGTAACACAGGGGACGTAATAATTTAAGCTTCTACGTTGCCTTTTGTAACTTTTAGTTTGATTCGATGTTATCAACAGTATTTGGCGTTGTATTTTACGAAGGAACGTAACGCGCAGATGGTGGTTAGTTGGCGAAGAAATAAGAGGGAGGACTTTAGGGTGGGAGTTTTAAATATCGATGGTTACATCTCGTCCGTTTCCACCGGTGGGTGAAAAGTTCAAAGGACGTTTTATAATGCTCTCGCCGTTGACGACGAAGAAGTGCTCGTTAGAAGCAAGCGCGCGCGGCGAACGTCGTCGCGTAGTCTACGGTTGCACCTGTTCGAGTACTATTAGAGACGGCTTAAAATTTTCACGAGCCACTCGAGAGCGGCGAGGCCTCCTCTCTCTTTCTCTCTCGGTCTCTCTCTCAAGGCTGCCGAAATCTGCAATTTGGCGGGATCCATCGTAAGCAGCCACTCGGAAGGAAAGTCTACGTTGGAAGAGAATAGAAAAAAGAACCGGGGCCTTTGCACGCTGAAGAAGGTGGCCAACCACCTCCGGAGTAGGGCGACCCCGCGCTGTTCCGCAGACGATCCTCATCCGTCGTGTTTACATCCGCCTCGAAGGAGGCAAAAGTAACGGAGAAAGAAAAAAGGAAGGATGATAAAAATGGAAATTCGTGGTTTATCAAAGGAAGGCTAGATACTCACCAACCACTGCGGAAGCTCCAGCTCTTCTCTCGCGCGCTCCTCCTTCAGTTATCTTCTCTTTATCTCCCCCCCTCCCCCCTCTCTCTCTCTCTCTCTCGAGACGCCGAGCTGTTTTCGGCAATTGCTACTGGATCTTGTCAAAAAGTTGAAAGAGAGAGGCTGGTGAAAAGAGGCACTACGGATTTCTAGCTCGTCCGCGGCTTAGAGGAGAGAGTAAGTGGGGGAGGGAGAAGAAGAAGAAGGAAGTTGGGAAGGAAAGCGGAAAAGGGAAGGAGAAGGACGATGAGGAAAGAGTATAGGGCGAGAGAAGAGAGAACGATGGAACGATGGAGAGGAAAAGGAGGAGGAGGAGGACATCTTAAATTTTTTACGAGGCCACTCGTGAGCAATGGCAACGGAAGAAGGCGAGCACACCACCACCGGTGCCGTAGACCTAGGAGGCGCTGTGCACAGCTACCAGCAAGCATTTCACTGAAGTCTGCAATTTCGCGGATGCATCTTGGCTGGTCTCGGCTAGAGCAAGAGAACGCGAGGGAAGGAGGGGAAGGTCTTTGCCCGCTTTAGAAGAACTTCTAAAGCGCGCCTTCCACCTCCTTTCTCCCTCGGTCCACCTCTTCCCACTCTCTCTCTACTATATTTTAGTACTCTAGAATTTCGTGCTTCCTCCAGTCCTCTCTGCCCCCAGCCCTCGCCTCCTCTCTCTCTCCGTTTTCGAAGCCCTCTCCTCCTCCACCTCCACCCTCCCTTCCTTCCTCTTGCCTCCACCAGACTCTCAGAGTTCTGTGCGAACCTCTCTCTATCTCTTCTCTTTTTCGCTCGCTTCTTTCCTCTCATCTTTGCCATCACTCCCTTCTCTTTGCCTCTTCTCTTCTATTCTCTTCTTCTTCTTCTTCTTCTTCTTCTTTCTTTCTCTTTTTCTTCTTCTTCTCTATTCTCCACTCTCTCTCTCTCTTCTCTCTTGTTCGGTCTCTTTCGGTCCGAAGAATAGCAGAGACGCCGGCCAGACCTTGCGGCCTACCAGAGAGTGAGAAAGAGAGAGAGAGAGAAAGAGATCGACCCCCGAGCGAGAAAGCTCGGTGTTCGAACGAAGATGCTCGACCAGCTTTTCTCCTCTCTTCATCCTCCGGTCTTTTCCCCTTTCTCTCTCGCTCGCGCGTTCTACGTCTCGCAGGTTCTATGTGTGCACCGAGAGGGAAGAAGGGTGAGAGAGACGGATAAACGCATGGTATTGATCCTGAAACCCCTTGCTTCTCATCCCTAGCCTAGCACCCCTTCCACCGCATCGACGAACCCCAAAGTTGCGTTCTCTCTCTCTCTCTCTCTCTCTCTCTCTCTCTCTCTCTCTCTCTCTCTCTCTTTTTCTCTTTTTCTACCTCTCTTCTTTTTGCCGCGTTCTCCGCCGCCTTTTAGACCACGCTAGATGACTGGTGCAACGAGTTACGCGAATTTCACCGAGCTCGGATGCATGTACGATGCAGGATGACCTTGAACTTGAAGTTACTCTCCGACCACGTATGCACCGCCATGCGCTTTTGTCGCGCAGACGTTTCCTCCTTTCGCGCTTCCCCTATTCCACGCGGATTTTTCCTCTACCGCGCTGCCTGAAACATCTCGATCTCACGTAAAACCGATTTTTTTTTCTGTGATAATCGCTCCGTTTTGATGAACGATCGATCTGCATCGAGCGGAAGGAGACGAATGAATTGGTCGATGATGGACAGAGGTCCTGCTCGAGATTTCGCGATCGATCCTCTCGAATTTCTCTCTCTCTCTCTTTCTCTTTCCCTTTCCTCCTTCGCCACTTGCGTTTTATTGGCTCACGTAGAAACACTTCTACCCTGCCAGTTGTTCGATTTGAAGAATGATCGATGCGCACGAAAAGAGGCACGAAAGCGGCCGTTACGGGGAAAGAAAAGTACAACACCCATCGCTTTCTATCTACGTAGAGATCTTGGCCAGAAACCACGCCGTGCTCTTCGAACACGCGATCGTCCATCTGCCTGGTACTACGTCATTTGGCACGCTCCCGGGCATATCCGGAGAAACAATGATCCCTGCAGAGTCATCGGACTTAACAGTACAGGTGCCAAACGGTCGTCGATCGCGGATCGTTAACGACCGGTCCCCTGGTCGTGTTGGTTCTCGAGCCAATGTTCGCCGATATTCGGTCGATTTTCACGAACCGAAAGTCGAAAATCGAACGGTCGTCGATCGCGGATCGTTAACGACCGGTCCCCTGATCGTGTTGGTTCTCGAGCCAATGTTCGCCGATATTCGGTCGATTTTCACGAACCGAAAGTCGAAAATCGTTCGGTCGTGCGACCGGGGAACGAGGGACGAGGGACGAGAACCGATCGGTCACGTTCGCCACAAAAGAAGCTCGTTTCCACTCGATGAATCTCGATATACGAGAGGGGCGAGAGGAGGGAGAGGGGGAGCTGAGGCACGACTTTATTCGACTTTATTCGGTGTTGAGCGAGGGTGGAAGACTACTCCGACAGCAGCCCGATGAAAGTAAACCACTCGGTAAAGCCGCGCAAAAGCGTCTCCGAAGTTTCCCGTTTTCGAGCTCGGGGCTTAACTTAATCGAAGCCGCCTGTCGTTCTTAACCTTCGAAACCTACGGAACTTTTCCGTATCGAAGGCGGTGTATCGATTTTTCCCGCCGCGGATCTGTAGCACGTCTTCGATGAAATTTACCGTTTGGCTCGTTCGTTTTTACGTGCCGCGAGGGTTTCTCGTGATTCATTACGAGATCGTAACAGATAGATTGCGAGCTTTTATACTTCTTGTAAGATAAACGTGTTACGTTACTCCTCATAATATTTAGCAGGTAAAACGATCTTCGATCTCCTGCAAGATTTTAATTATCTTTGTAAAAACATGTAATTTGTCCACGTTCTTCTTTCAATCTTCATATTGAATTTTAAAATTACTTTAAAAAAAAAAAGAAATGTGCAGTCTTCGTGTAAAGATACAACTGGCATCTTTCCTCTACGTTCGACACAAACGTACATGCCCACGAGAAAAAGAGTCAACTCATCGGCATTGAGACGTACGTTTTTCCCAACTTTTATCCTTCCGAGTTTCCGACAGTTGCGCGTAATTCACAAGCATTCTCGTGCACAACGGTTCTTACACACCGTAACGCGCGCCCGATGCAACTTTCCACTCTCGTAACAAATAAAAAAACATTGCGTAGACGCGGAATGTTGTCCATTCGGAAACACGCTTCATAAATTCGGTGGGGAAGTTTTGCCAAACCGCGGACCATTTAAGCCCGAGTGAAGTAAGAGACAAAGAGCGTCGAGGGACGAAGAGATACGAAAGGGAGGAGATGAGATGGTTGGAAAGCGTGTAAAACGGTGGTATCCCACTGTGTGTTAGAACGAACTCGATCGTCGCGACCGCGAAGCAGAGCCAAAACGAGAAGAAAAGAAAGGAGAGAAAGGAAAAAAAGAAAACGACCGCGGCCGCGTTGTTTCCATTTAGGGATGTCATTAGAGCGGCGCGGCTTCGTTCTCGCGAAAAGAGATGGAAATAGAAGTCGCCGGTCTGCGCCCGGCGGTCGGTAGAGAGATATCAGGAAGAAGGCGTAGAAGGGTAGATAGCAACCGGGAATGGGGAAGGATATTTCGCGGATTTTAATTAATGCGGTTCATCTTTGTTTCTTTCAGACGAGCCCCGGAGTCCCGTGGAGTGTGACGAGCGGGCGCGCGCGCGCGCGCCTCTGCCGAGGAAAATTCAGGCGTCGACGAGAGGCAGGAAGAGGAGAAGAAGAACCAGTGGCTGAGGGGAGAAGGAAAAGGCACGAAAACGGAGAAAGCGGCGGGCGGATCGCGCGGGGTGGCAGGGAGAGGAGGAAATGCGACAAATCTCGGCTCGTCATTAAGGGAAGCGGCTCTTTGTCGGTGTACACGGGAGCAGGGGGGGCGGGGGGGAAGATCGGACGGAGTGTTTCTGGCAAGGGGCACCTGACTGCTTCCGGTGGTGTATCGCGGAAGGCGGTAAATGCAACCGAGCCTAGATTCGCCGCGAATAGTTTCGTGGAACCGAGAGCCTACCGATCGTACGAAAACCCCAGATACGCAACGACGAGCTTTCAACGAGCGGCTTTAATCGCCGTTAATGGCCTAGGAGGAATTCGGAGACGAAGAGTTTCTGTTTCAAAGAGAGAGAAAGCCAGAGAGGCTAGGACGGTAAGCGACAGTAACTGGTGGACAGACAATAACGAAGAAGAAGAAGAAGAAGAATAAGAAGAAGAAAGGATAGCCAGAGGTTTATTCGAGAAGCGAAGTTAATTTTCGGAAGGGTAAGAAACCGCCAGTGGCGAGCACGGCACATCTGGAAGGGTTGCACGACCTGGAGCAGGAGCAAGAGGAAGAGGAGGCAGGAGGAGGAGGTGGAGGAGGGAGGTGGTGGTGGAGGAGAAGACGAAGGTGGTAGTAGCGTTGAGAAGCTGGAGGAGTCGGGCGGCTACGAGGGTGGTTGCACGTCGTGGTCGCGTGACGTGCGGAAAGAGCAGACGAACCGTGGAGGAGGCATGAGGAGGAGAGAGTGACGACGCTGCCGGTGCTGCAGCCTCGCACAGATCGTGAGAGGACCGGCGGCCCCACGGTGGGGCTGCGATAAGAATGGCCCCCTTCAATATGGCGGGCGTAGCAGGCCTTCTAGCCACCTGCGCCGCCGCTGCTGCTTCCGCTGCCCACCTTCTGCCGTTGCTGCTGTTGCTAATCTGCCCGCGAGGGACCCACGCGGAACAAGGTAACCCTCTTCTCTTCTCTTCTCTTCTCTTTTCTTCTCTTCTCTTCGCTTCTCTTCTCTTCTTTTCGCTTCCTTTCTCTACAGGCCGATTCAAGAACGTATCCTCGAACGTATCGTATGTTTTCCTCTACCTTGGGCTGAACTCGGTCCCCTGCTCCAATCTTTTTCACACTTCTCGAGTTTTTGGAAATTTTGACCATAGCTAAGTTCAAACCCATTTTCGTTGGCATTCGACTTAGGTGCTTAATCAGAGTTACAGAGATGATCCATGATCTCGAATATTCCAAAGCCAACTGTCCATTAATATTTAAAGAGAATAAAAAATTTAACCAAAGCTCCAAATAATAAAAAGTAGTTTATTGGACGATCTATCATCAAAGGAAAGAAATAATCATCCCGCAATGGTTTTGCTCGATACGTTCGTTGAATCGTCCTGTAGAGACCGCACTTGGCTCTATCTGAGGATCATAAAGCAAGATGATAGTCTAGGACGACACCTCAGGACACGATACGCGAGTGCGATTGCTACTTCCTTCTGTATACTTAGCTAGATGCATCGATTAAGTTGTACGCCTGCCGCCAGACGTACTACACCCGTCTTTCTATCGAGGAACGATTGCGATAGAAAGTCTCTACCGATACAACGAACTGGTGTTTGAAGTTGTTTTATGTACGACATAATTACTAGCTTCCCCGAGAACTTCGACATTCATTCTCCCTATTTTTTTCTTTCTTTCTTTCGTTCGTTCTTTCTTCGTCGAAACGGCGGCTAGAAGTCGGCTCAATAGATTCTTTCGATACGACGACCACTGGTTCGATCTTTCGCTTGTAAATAACTTAATTAACGTTGAAGCGACGGCAACCAGTGGAATGTCGTTTATCGAGGAGTACTATTGCCCGACGTTCCTTCGACACTTCGAAATGGCGTTACTTTGCCAGCTGTCGTTCGATTACGATCTGCTCGGATTACTCGAAAGAAATTTCTGACGACGCGATTCTATTTTCGTAATAAGAATTTCATCATGCGAAGGCCAGAAGAAAACAGTATTTTCTTTTCTCATTCTCACGGTATTAAATTTATGTGAAAATAGATTAAAGAGTGTATTTAATTGGATTATTAGCCGCCGTAAGAAGACATCTGTGGAAGATTACATTTTTAAAAAGTAGAATCTTCACGTACTTGTGTGTGTGCAAAACATTTAATTTGTGTTTAGGTATCTGCAATTTTACATTGATCGAGATTTGACGTCGGCTACTTGAACCTGATTAATCGACGTGTAAATAGACTGGGACACGAATAATTTATCCAGACACTGTACGTGGATTACGGGAATTAAGATTTTGCTATATACACACCGTCGAGATTAGCCTAACTTTCTATGGATCCACCAAATCGGACTCGCGCGAATCAATATCCATTGATATGTACGTTCGGCTCCGTCGAAGATGCAGAGAATCAACCTCCTGTGAGAGAATTTGCTCCATGTTAGCCAAGACCTATATAGAACATACTCGAACATACGCGACTTAATCGGTATTCTCGTAGCCTAGTGCAGCTGCGATATTTACCGAGAACTCGATCTATACTCTGTCGAATATTTATTCAACTCTGGGGGCACTTGGGGACCCGAAGAACTTCTCTCGAGATCTGTGCTTAATTAATTAGACGAAAAAGTATTCAATGTCAGACTTTGACACTTCCAATCAGTTGACACCGATGACACATTTGAAAACGCGTTGATTAATACGTTATTAATATCTGACAAAGCAGAACTCTTTTATTTCTTCCCCCGTCGAAGTGGATCTTTACATTTTGTATCTCGCGCCTCTCCCTGGGAACTGACATTCACGTTTGCTCTCCGGGTCGCCTAAGTACTTTGTTCCGTTCATACTATAATATTTAATTGAAATTTAAATCGAACGTAGAAAAACATGATCTACAGATGAAAATGTTTGCTAGGAATCGAAGGATTTGAACGTTGAAAAAAAAATATACGAGACATCGAGATTAGCCTGTTGGAAAACAAATTTCTACTTGGGCTACATTTATTCAACTACGCTCGCAAACAGTGCAACACGGTAACGGATTACAGTATACCGTACAATATACTCGAAAACAGCGTAACATAGTAACGAAGTATACTGTACGCGTCCTGTAAATTTCACGCTCATTAGACAGTGTCCGATTCAACGTCCGTTAGCTGTTAAAGGATTGGCGATTCTAATCCTTCAGGATTCACAATTTAACTCGGACGAACAGCCTCCTGGGAGACGAGACTTTTAAACGTTTCGAGCATGCGAAATGCACGGGAATCGTGTGTATCGTGATCTATAACCACGGCCAGAAATTTATTCGAGCGATAGGGGAACCGGCCGCTTTTTTAGCAGAGAGACAGAGAGAGAGAGAGAAAAGGAGAGGAGGGTTTCTCGGAGATGGAGAGCTACCCGGAACGTTTTCCATATTTATGCGGAAAGGAGGCTGGCGCCCCGGGGTTCTCGATGGGTCCGTTTCTGCACCCCGTTCATCCCTCTTTCGCCGGGAATAACGATAATTTCGTAATGTGGGCCAATCTTCCGAATTGCGGGATCGTTTCGAGGTGCCGGTAGTTAGTGCCGCGGCATTAAAAGGGGATCATTTCGAGCGCGCGTTCGCCCCGGACGGTTTGGAAGGAAGAGGGGTAAGGGGGCGAGGGAAAACGCGCCGCGCCGGGGATATATAGACCGCTCTCCGAAATTGACCGGCAAACTCAACAGGCCCTGTTTACTCTACGTGAGCCGATTTCTAGATGAAGGGTCTTCGCCGCGCGCCTTTTTTCGATGCGCGCCGTGTGCTCCTCTCCGCGATACCCAAAACCACGTCTCCCCTCCCTCGATTAGATTCTCCTCACGAACCGCCAGGTTACTCTTTTGAAAAACCGGGCCAACCAGTTTCGGTCAAATTTTAACCCTCGACTCATTCGCGTGGAAATCTAGACTCGAGCCTCGTTTCTCTCTCCAGTCGCGTGATTGTTTCCTGCGAATGGAAGACAAGCCGAGGTGATCGTTGTCGGAAGCCTAAATGTTGTCGTTAACGAGCGAAGTTTGAAATTAAAAATTTTTTACGATCGATGCAAAATTGCCCACAGTTTTAAGAAAAAGGGGGGGGGGGAGGGGGAGAAATCTTGTCGTGATTTCGACGCGACGGAACGCGATAAAATTTCTGCGGCAAGTTCTGGTACCGCAATCGCTCGGGAGTTCCCTCGGTGCGCGATGAGAGAACTTTGGGACGTTTAATGGAACTTGTCAAGAATACGCATTCCCAGTGGACCGTGTCCGCGCAACGTAGACGGCTAACTTCGTTTCCTTCGACCTGCACGAAACCCGAGCTTCTCGTTACCCTTGCCTATTCGATATCTCGGCTTCATGCCTTTCTCTCTCTCTCTCTCTCTCTCCCTCTCTCTTCACTTCTCCCGTTATATCTCTGAATTTCATTCTTCGACCGGATCCCTGAGAGAGGTCGACTACTCGTATTACAGTATCCGCTGCTGGACTCGTAAACACCGATTCTCCCCGGCGATAAACTCTGCGGCTAAGCGAATTTGTCCAGTCGACAGCTTTCTTAACCGATCTCGCCGCAACTCTTCCGACACGCGGCTCAGCCTCGGAAAATTCGAGATAACAAAGTAAGATTTGGTCGAGTCTGTTAAAAATCTGAAGCAGCAGAGAACTGAACGTGGTGACGTTTCGTGAGTGGAAAGGACACGAACAAGAACAGAAAAGAGAGATACTCGTCGGGTCGAATCGATAAGCAGTCTCTGAAAAATTTGAAACAGAGGAGCCAGAGAACAGAAAGTAGAGAGTTTCTGAGTGGAAGCGACACGCGAAATCAGTTTTGGTCCGCGATCTGGATACAGAGTCTTTGGTTTCTTCTCTCCGTCGAATTGGACAAACCCCTCGGAGAGCCATAGAGGTATAACACGGTGGCTGAAATTCGATTACTTTCTGGAACGACGAGCAAGCCACTCGGTACGGCATGGTTCGTTCGCTATGTGGACACGCTTAGGGCTCGATTACTTTGTCCTTCCACCCTCGAATCTGTCCTTTCGATTTCCCTTTAACAGTGAACCGTAACGACGCTCGGCGAAACTGGCAGATCGTCTAATACGATTTCGTCGTGCTCGTATTCCCATTTCCCCTCCCCTCTCCCCCCTCTTTCTCTCTTGCTGGTTACTTAGAAATCAAATGGAAAAACGAAAATTCAATATACCATCTGCGAATTTGGTCACGCATACCGGTGCCAACCGAAAGTTTGAGTACGCTTAAACTACGTTTGTTTAATTTACTATACAACGACAAACACATTTCGTCCCTTGATACACAATCTAACGAGATACTCTAAGCCCTGGGCAAAGAAATCACTGTCGATGTTAACCCTTGACTGAGATTACTGGGTCACGCAGATGACTATCATAGTTAGTGGTTTTTCTCCTTGGTCGACTCGTCATTATCATCGTGCGTCGTGCCCATCGACGATCTCGTCCCTCTTCTCTCGAGACCGATGCTCAATCACAGAACCCGCCTCGCGTGCTCATCACTTGACATTCCTCAACGGCTACCACGACGAAACGTCGAAGCTCCAGTAAATTTTCCTCACACGTGCTGCTCCCGACCAGGAGGGAAGAGACGAGCGTGCGTGATTGCGTAGAAAAAAGCTGATCGAACGCGGCGAGAGTGGCGTTGCGTCGCGGTCAGGGGTCCGGCGAACAGGCGCGGAGGGGCCGGTGGATCGCGGGTACGCGGTGACGGCGCGAGCAGGAGCTGGAAGCGGGAGCAACGGCAGGAGAAGTCTCGGGAGCAGGTCGAGCCACAAGGAGGCAGTCCTCTCTCGAACAAACTCGATTGCCTCCACGAAAAGGCAGAAAGACTCGTTCGGTGCTCTGGCTGTGTGCGTATACCTGTATGCAGGCCTCTCCGCTCTGCTCCTTTCCTCTCTTTCTCTCGATTTCTCTCCCTGTGATCCC